TTTTGAGGCCACTGGACATCAGTAGTCCAGACATTTCCTTGCCCAAAAAACCCCTAAACCAACCCTAAACCACCACGAAACCCACCCCAAACCACCACTAAAACTAGAACCAACCTTAAAAGCCAACCCTAAAGAAACCCTAAAGAAAACCTTAAACCAGCAAAACTCCCTAAAGAAAACCCTAAACCAACCCTAAACCCCAAACACCAATCCCCAAACCCACCCGAACCCCACCCAAACCAACCCTAAGTCTGCACTAAGTTTGTATTATTCTGTATTGATACTGGTTTAGAGTGGGTTTGTATTATACGATGCGCATTAAACCAGCACAATGCCATTGCTACTAAGCCCACCTCAAACCTCAAACCACCCCACTAAGCAAACCCTATAGCTCCCTAAAGCAACCCCAAAACCAATCCCTAACCCCCGTACACCAGCACTAAACCCAAACTAAACCCTGAACAAGCCCAAAGCAAACGCGACACCAACCGCCCCCTACCACCCCCCAAACAAACCAAACCAACACTAAACCATCCTAAACCTCTGAACTAACCAACTGAAGAAGCCCACCATAAGCCAGCACTAAACCATCGAGTACCTAAGCGCAGCCACCCCCGAACTTGCCTTAAACAAGCCTGGAACTCACCATGAACCAACCCTAGCCAACCTAAACCCACCCTAAACCCAGCCCAACAAATCCAACTCGTGATGCCGAGGATGTTGAAAAGGATGCTGCCGAGTTAAAAGTTAAAACGATGCCGGCGATGTTGACAAGGGAGATGGCACCTGCCAGTTCCAAGACAGAAAATAAGGGAAAAAGCCAAAAACAAAGCGGGGAAAAATCCCAAAACAAATCGAGACCCGTGTATATATTCAACATATGTTGACCCATAAGAATCTAGTGGTCACCAAGTGTTTAGTCTCCATTTGGCCTGCCACAGGAAGTTGCAGTATACACAGTGTTCCTTATCCATGTGTTCAACATATGTAAAATCTTGAGGCCAGAGCAAATTGTAGTCCAGAAGTATCCCTTAACTCTATTTCACATCAGTCGACCAATAAAGCTTTTCAGTCACCAATGTATTGTGTCAAACATGTGGCCTATCAAACTGTTGAGGCCACAGGAAATTATAGTCCAGAGATGCGCCTTAACCATATGTTCAACATATTTTGGCCAGTAAAATGTGTGGCCGCCAAGTGTTCAGTCAAACATTTGGCCTGCAATGTATGCCCGGCCATAAAAAAACAACAAAAACATATAGTCAGGTTGTGTGTTCAACATGTGGCCTGCAAACTTTTGAGGCCCCAGGAAGTTGTAATACACAAAATGTTCCTTAATTCAAAACCCAAAATATGTTCACCCAGTAAAACTTGTAGTTACCATTTTTGTCAAATATCTGGAGTGCAACATTTTGAGGCCACGGACATGTGTAGTCCACACGTGTTCCTTAGCTGCATTTCTTGAAAATTGTTTCACCCTTAAACATGCGCCCCCATATGTGCTATCACCAAATGTGTGTCCTGTCGTTTGGTTTTCCCCAAACTTGCTTCTTACACCTGCCCAGAGCGAGGTGTCTGAACAATTTCTGGCTTGTAAATATCTTTGGCAACCAATAGTTGCAAAATTCCTTGTTTCATAGTTTTTCAAGCTTCCCGTTCACTGGGCCATCCGCATTTTGTCATGGTGATGTTTGTCTTGTCTCTTGGCCATCCCGAAATTTGGCTCATATTTTTTAGTCCTCAGATTTACTGCTCCCTAGGCCTTTCAAATTTTGATTTGGTACTTTTTCAGTTTTAACCCGTTTTTTGGTACTGGGCCCACCAAAAATTGAGTTTTCCCGGCTTGCTAGGCATCAAGCAAATAGGTCCTCAACTTGTAGTTCAAGTTTATTGTTTTCGACTGGACCTCCACAAAAACATATTTTTGTGCCACTGTCATAAGGGAAACAACAATGTAGCAGCCCCATGGGTAATTGACATTTATGGACAAGCATTTCAACATACATTAACGCAAACATGCCTAAACCAACGTTTTGTCATACATACACGCATATCAACATGTAAGACTATCCCTATTCAAATATAGCGCTAGCATAGACGTTCGTCTATTCGTCTATATATACTACATTTAGATGTCTATAGTTTGGAACTGAACAAATCCAAAACAGATGCTGCGGGAAAAACATGTGCAGAAACGTGATTGAACTGGCCTTGTGTCAAGTCAACAGAAACTGCACCTTCCAAATCAATAGAAACTACAGAGTCCAAATCAATAGAAACTACGCAATGTCAAACCAATAAAGTCTATAAAGTCCAGCTTTCGGGGGGGTGTTGGTTATATCAATAGAACGGACGAAATCAATATCAATAAAAACAAACTGATTTCCATTGATTAGAATCAATAGCCGATGGCCAGGGTCGTTCAAAGCACTGCGCCTGTCACGAATTCCTACTTTGACACGTTCGAGAGACGCAGCGAAAAATAAGCACGGGGCTGTGGCGCCAGAGTGATTCCGCCCCAGACCCTCCAACTGCGAACCCTTCTGCCACGCAGTCGAAGTGGTATGTAAATGGTAATTGTAAACGCTTCTTGCCCGCCTCGGCCAATCTGGTTGGGGCCGACCTTCCCAGGAAATTTGACGGGTTTGTAGCTGGACCGTTTTTTAAGACGGGGATTTGACCAGTTCCTGAGTTGGGCCGGTTTAGAAGGGATTTTGGTGTTCAGGGGGGATGGGTTTCTAAAGAGGAACTGACCTGTTTCCAGGGGGAAATTGACCTGTTTCTGGGAAGATTTGACCGGATTTGGGCCCATATGGAAAATTTGATTGGCTTGGGGGGGGGGGGAATTTGCCCGGCTTTCTAGGGGGATTTGTTTGTGGGGGCACTGGTCGGTCTGACCGCTTCCGGGTTTGGGGGGCGAGGCGAATGAAGCTCTAGAGCCCTTCCTTACTAAATTCCGTGTAGTTTCAACCCCGGCGCAACAAAAAAACTCAAACACAACTCTTGGGAAAGAAACCCAACATGCAGAGCCTAGATTGAAATACCAAAGCTTAATTAACATTTGTTTGACATATTTAACATTTATGTGGCATCTTTAAACATGTGATCCTATTTCAATTCTGACTGAAATCTGCGTTTCCACTAGAACTCGTTCCCTGCTAAATTCAATTAGAATTATCACAAGGAAAGCATGAACGAAAGTAAACCCCCTTTGAAATCCACTTCGCAAGTAGTATATTTCAAAAGGCATGTTGTCATGTTCTAGTTAAAACTATGAATTCTATTCGAACATCTCGGCTAAATCCTAATAAACAGATTGAACAAGTCGTCCCGGGAAAGGAACTCCCCCCCCCAAATCCAATTTGAAAGGCGAATTCTAGTTGAAACCTAATTGAAATCCGTTGAAACATGTACGTTCTAATTGAAGCGTACAAAAGCCCTGAGGTAGATCATGGGGGCCGGGCGGTGCATGTAAATATATATATATATATATATATACACATAGAGAGCATACATATGTATATATATATAGATATATGGTACCCCCGCCCTCCATGGATCTACCTTCCTTCAGAATTCACTGGTATGTGCAGTGCTTTGTGCCTGCATGTGTGTGTGTGTGTGTGTGAGAGCTTGCGCCAGCGCGAATGTGTCAAGGTTTAAGATGAACACTCCTGAGAAACTGCTGCCACTTGAAGGGGGACCCTTTTTAGCAGTGCTGAAGTGGTGCCAACCTGGCGGCAAGGTCTCTTTGTCTTCTCGGTCATGATGTTCGTGGGCATCAGAAACAAGTTCAACATCAACGAGGGCACCTTGATCACCGTGTTCAAAGCCATCTGCCGCTGGGCTGGGGAACGGTTGACATGAGTTTGCCCAATGAGGACCGCCTAATGGGCCCGCATTCATTGGGCAAGAGATCTCTTGGCTGAAAATGAGTGCATGAATTCCCTATCTCGCATTCAGAGGAACCCAGCCCCGTCTTTCGTTGCAGGTGAGATCAGGTAAGTGACGTCCCCGTTGCAAACCTCGAGGTTTTCAGCCTAGCATGTTCCCTGCAGAGCCTACAGCCACTCACTTGTTGCGCTTGGTGTGCTTCAGATCCAAACTCTTGCAGCTTCTCCCGCAAGGCTGCCTGTGCTGCTACCAAATCCAGATCATTCGCCACATGGATGAGGTTGAGGGTCTCGTTGGAAACCCAGTGGCCGTGCACGGATAACCATTTGACACCGCTTCAGCTTGTACCATACGTAGCTTGCGAGATTCGATCGTCGCGGCACGCAGCTTGAAGTGAGAGTCCCACAGACTCTGTGAAGCCTCAGCCTATTCAACTGGACATGGCGAACTCCCTTTGACATTTGAGCTGCGCGGCATAGCTGGGGGGCTGAACTGCATAACTGCACGTGTTCCGCAGACATGTTGCAGTGATTTGCCTCCGGCGTCTGTCACCCGATGGGGGCAGATTGTTTCAGTGAGAGGTGCTCGAATATGCAGGCTGTCATCCTCCAGGCTGTGAATGGCCCGAAGGAACCCTATGCACACCTCGATTTATGAAAAAAGTCGCTTTGCGCCCGTTTGGAGAACTCATTCAATCCCCTGAGCCTGGGGTATTTTCGTCACAAAAGTATTTGGGCATATATATATATATATATGTATATAGATTTCAGGAATACCCGCCCGCTGGCTGGTGAAATCAACGCAAGTTTTCGCGCAAACGCTGACCTTCTATGTCCACTTCCAAAGGCACTCGATTTAACCGCTTGCAAAGGCATCTCTCTGTGCGAGCAGGTTGCGCCCAGGAATGGCAAAGATGCTTGTCTTTGCCTTCCTTTTAGCCCATACCAAACGGGCCAAGCTACCCTTCTACTTGCTTTACATCCATGGAAGATCCTTTCCTCTTAAAGCTCGCTGCTCATTTGCGTCCCTTTTTGAAGGTGCACCGAATGGGGTGGTTTTCAAGGGAAGGCCAAGAGGAAGCCGAGCCCTTGAAATCGACTCGGGAGGCCGGGATCGCTGGGAGCCGGAGACGGAGGGCCTGGACGCCCAGCCAAAACGCAAGGGAGAAGGACCTCCGGCGGTTTTTCGTTTGCCGGAAGTGGTTTTCCGAAAAAGAAATGCTGGAGGCGAAGCCAAGGAGTCCAAAGTTGAGACGTAGATTGCTGGGACTTCCCCTGATGGGTGAGCCGATGAATCCTCGATCAGGGGCACATCTCTGTCGAAGAGTCCGCTGGTGATTTGTCAGCTCCTTTGCAAGCCCCCGCCACTTTTCTTGGTTGGGTTTGTCACGCAGGGAACATGGAGACCCCTATCCCCCCCCCCTCCCGGGCAAGCCAAGCATTTGCATGCTGGCCATCTGGAACTTCACGGGGGCCGAAGCCAATGTTTAATAACCCCACGTGGGCTGCGTTAAGGCTACTCACTTTCTGCTTCACTCCGCCTGTGTGCCCCAGGCTTGTGAGCCACCCACCTGCTTGGAAGAAATGGGTTGAATCTGACAGGACGACCTTTGCCATTTCTCCAGCAAGCATTGGCTCAGACAAAGCGTGGGCTGTCCCTTGTGTGCTGCTTTTGACTAAGCCATGCCCCGCATGACCACTTGGGCGCTCTTGACCTCCCTGGTCACAGCGTCCCCTTTGGACTTCCTGGGTCGCCGTCTGGAAGACGCGGCATCCTGCGTGGAGAGCAACACCCCCTGTATGGACGGCAAGGATTGCTGTGGCGTCTGCGCCTACATCGGGGCCGAGACCTGGCAATGCTTGGACTGCACAGCCGCCGATGACGAGTGCATTCCCATGGGGAACCGCTGCTGCAACGGCGGCAACAAGCGCAAGGACGAGGTCTTGGCCGACGCCCAGTTCACCTGCCAGGGCACCGGCACCATCAGTGAGCTCTATGGCATCCAGAAGTACACCTGCCAAGCCGCCGGCCCCAAGCCCGCGGAAGAGGCCGCGAGCCCCGCAGCCCCGGAGCCGGCCTTGAAGGAGGCCGAGGTGGAAGTGACCATTCTGCAGAGGGGCGATGCCACCGAGAGGCAGGCAGAGGATCTGAAGAGCTACAGCAAGTTCTGCTTCGAGAGCTACCCAGTGGACACGGAGGGTGGCATGGGCCTCAGCAAGGCCACGGATTGCGTGGTGGACTATTTCTTGGGCGTTTACCGCTACAAGCCCGTGCTCTCCGGGTCCGGCTCATACACCGGGTCGGACATATCAGCGAAGTTAGCCGGAGCGACTGTCATCATGGTGAAGACGCCATCGGGCGAGTGGGAGATGGTGTTCCGCATGGAGAAGTAAAGTCAGCTTGAGCCAACTGACCCCTTTTGTTGCAAGGTGAGGTTGCTGGGAGCCTTCCCCAAATCCTCCGCCCAATTTGGTTATGGTCAGGCATGCGTGGCCCGATAAGACTAGTTGGGGCTTTTGAGCGTGCCAGGCAATCAGTTGCTCAGTGCATTGAACCATTTGCAGAAATGAATACTCGCACACGCACAAGGCGGTGCGTTCTACGCCTCCACTCAAGCCTGGAGCGTGGAAAAGCAAGGCACCTGCTTGCCAACTGTGGCTTCCAAGCGCAGACGTGTTCCGCGGTGGTTGTTTCCGCGGCCTTTTTTGGGTCCGGGGTGATGCTTCCAGGCCTGGACTCTCGCTATGAGAGGCCCTGGAGCCGTCCGGGCCCCGATTCGAGATTCGGGGAGATTCGGTCGATGCTCCGATGCGATTCCTAACACTTCCGTGAAGCCTCGCGAGGTTTTTCGGATTTGGGGGGGAGTGATTCATAAAGGCGGTCCTTGCTCCAAAAGAGATTCATCCACATGGGTTCCTGGGTTCCTTCTGTTAGAGTCAAATCCTACCAATCTCCCGGCAAGGTTGCATCTTGGTCCCTGTCCGGGGGATAAAATGAGCTCTGCCATGAAGCTCCGTCGCCGACCAGCGGAGCGGGCTCGCTTTTGAGGCCCTAAGCACATCAACCAGGTAGAGCTTGGCACAGGGCGCCATTTCCTATGGGGCCACAGTGAGCCGATGTTCGAAGGGGAACTGCAGGGAACCGCAGAAGTGGCAACTGCCATGCCCGCTTTAGGATTACTCTCAAGACTTGAGAGGGGATGGAAAGCCAAGCCGCCCCTTACGGCGCCAGAACCTGAAAAAGATTGGACCTGGTCCTTGGCAACAGGCCCTTAGGTTCCGTGTCAGTGGGAGAGGACTGGTTTCGATGTTTCGCTTTTTCCCGAAAAAAAGGGGGGCCTGCAGATTTGGAGAACATAGAATACACATCTTCAGATGATTTGAAGCAGATCCTCATGGACAGCTGTAATTGGTGTTGGTACTCTGGTTTCGCTTTTCTTGGCTTGCTTAAGGAACTGTAAGTTAGGATGTGGTCAGTTGACTCTTTGCACCAACTGTTGGTAGCCGCTTTCGCCTCACGCGATGTCCGATGCTGAGCGACTTTCTTATCCGAGCAATCGCAGGCATCGCTCATTTCACAAGCCAGCATATGCAAGCTGTTGCTGCGCTTGTGATCTTGATCCAAGGACCAGAGTATGAGGAGTATGACGACCGATCATGGCGTGCGGGCCACAGTGCTTTTGTTTGGACAGCCCAGTTGCAAGCCGAGCCGGCAGCATGCGAAGTGCGCGCAGCGTTACTGGCCAGGCAGTTTGGCACTCCCCAAAAGATGCAACCTGGCCTTTGCCACCAGACTGAAGAAAGGACAACAGAACTTTGGAGTGGTGTACAAGAACCCCTGTTTGGCCGTTCCCAGAGCTCGCGCAACAATCACGGCGCTTCATGCAACTACCACCGCTGGGACTGTGCGGTGAATGCCTTTGATGAGTTCGCGTGAGCGAAGCGACGCTTCATTCTTGGGTGTGACTTGCAACATTCTTGGCCAAGGTGGCTTTCTTCTTTTCTCCCCTCATTCCTTGGTTCAATGGCGTTTCAACCATTGGCAGAACCCTGTACTGAGAAATTTCCGGAGTCGTCCACGACCCAAAGAATGCTCGTCTGCTGCACATCCATCCTCACTCCCTTTTTGTCCGGTTTGGGCGGTGTTGAGGCCGCGAACAGGGGAGGAAAAGTGCCAAACCACTTTTGCTTTTTTGAGCACCAAAAGGCTTGAAACGAATGGTGTGCAATTGACAGGTTGGGTTGCAGAACTAAAGGGGTAGAATCCTTTTTGTATTTACACGGGATGGTCCCCCCACTTTACCCAGTCCCCCCACCCGCTAAAATGAACGAGGGGGGGGGGGGGAGGGTTGGAATTCCGTTCCTTGTGTCAAGGAGAGAGCCGACGGCTGGATGTGCATGAGCTGAGGGCTTGCCAGGCGCGGAGAAGAAGCAAGAAGGGCCAAAGAAGGGGCAAACTGTGGATGGGATTTGTGCTCACCAGCCGTTTTTTGTTTTTGTTTTTTCTTCCGAGGGCGAATCCCTTTTGAACTCATTTTTTGTGTTATTTTTGAAAGCATTGGAGAGTGGTTTGTTTGACAATGTTCTGGGCAACATAATAAGGAGCTCTCGCGGGAAAACGATCTCACCGAGGAAGGTATCGAATTTACCGGCTGCCTGCCGCGGGACATGGTCATGGCAGGTCAATATTTTCATTGTAGCACCAGAAGCAAACGGAGGGAGCTGAACACCGGCAGTGTTCCAGTTGAAGGGGTGCGGTTGCCCTTGGTCCCTGCAAAATACTCCCCGAACACTGACGTGGCAACTAACGCGGGGGGTGGGGAGTGGGGGGTGGGGGGTGGGGTTGGGTTGGGGGAAATGCACCACTACCCTCACTAACATGGCGCCCGGAGAGTTTCCCTTCAAGATCGATCTTCCAGAATTCGTGGCAAGGGTTGGACAGGTTCCAGGTTCTGCCACGCCGGTTTTGTTAGGAGGGTGACCCTGAGCACCAGGGTCCCTTCCGAGGGCTCAGGCGCCATGGCGTGGAACCTCCACATTCGCTGAGCCTTTGAAGACCTTCGAATCTTTTTTTTTTGGTTTAATCTTTGCCCCCCCCCCCCTCCCCCCCCGGAAATTGACCGCCCCTCGTTTTTTTTTTGGTTTAATCTCCCCCCCCCCCCCCCGAAAGAAAAAGAAAAAACAACTGGACCGACCCTGTGGATTTCCCTGCTCTTGAATGCATAGGCCGTGGCCGGCGTTTCGCTCACCTCCAGCGGCGCGCGGCTGGGGCGCCGGAACCCCCGGCCCTTCAGCGGGAAGGCTGCACCAAAGGCAAAGCTCTTGGGGAACACAGATTCTTTACATTTTTTATTTTTTTTTGTGAGGGTACCCCTTTTTGGTTGGTTTAAAAGGGAAACAACATGAAACCAAGCAATGTTGGGTTCCCTGACAAAGACACACCCACACGGTTTGAAGTTTCCACCAGCATTTCATTGTGACTCAGGGGGGGGGGGGTTGGGGGGGGGTTGGCAATAAACATGTTTCGGCACCCCAAAAAGTGGAGCACATGATGAACCACTGCCGATGGATTCCGGATCGCCTTTTGAACTTTGGCTGCCATCCACAGCACGCTGAGTTGCATCTGCAGCCCTGGCTCGCCCTGGCTCCCCCATAATTGAAACGCGTCCTGATCAGAGCTGTACTTCACCCCTTGAACCAGCGAATCAAATCTGACGCAAGGCCGGCATGCTGCCCTACGTCCAAACATCCCAGTTCGGGCCAAGTTTCCCGTGCTCTGACTTCTCCCCTTTCTCAGCTGACAAAGGATGCCTGCCACGCATGTGCCACCATCTAACAACAATCTACTTTTCAACCGCGGCTCCTCCCCACGCAACCTTGTCCTTAAGAATTCGAGGTCCCACTTGGATTCCGACCGAGGGATTTTTTTGGGGAGTTGTCCGACAACTGTTCCTTTTTGCATCCTGGTATTTTGTTTGACGGCGGTTGGGCTTGCAGTTTAGATTTCCTCACTGCTTCCCGGCGCAGACTCTGGCTGAAGACACACAGAACATTTGGAAGAACCAAATGAGTCGCAATCAAAGCCCGGGTGCTTGGAGGGTAAGGGACGATCCCACGGGCGGACGCCTTTTGATTTCTTTACATGGTAGACCATGTTAATCATGCCGTTCGGTTCTGGGACAGCACTCTGCTGGAGCAGTGCACATGGCCGGTGGATAGACTGGAATGAACCTCCAGTGCCCCAAGGCAGCTGGCTCAAAATGAGACCCGTAGCCACTGGTTTTGACACAGACAGCAATAGGAGCTTCCTACATAGTTGCAAAAATCATTTGTTTCTTGATGGTTCCTGTTCAGATGAACCCAAATTCTCAGGAAAATGAGCGCTTTTGGACCCTTGTAGCGAATTGTTGAAGGGGTTATTCCATGTCCCCGACTGACAAGCTCGTGTCAGGAGATATGCTTCCCCGAAAAGACCGCCCTTCTATACCCCACATGGGCGTTTTGTTGTTGGAAGGGAACTCCAAGCGAAGCCCAACAGCGGGGTTGCCTCCATGTTGAGGCCCGACGACAACAGGTTGCTACCCCCCCCCCCCACTGGCACCTTCCCCTCCTGTTGTTTTCTCTTTTTTTTCTCTTTGGCGAATCGCTCGCGCTTCGTGCGCCTCGGCGGTATGTCGTTGGCGAAAGCAGCGGAGCAGCTGCAGCGGGGAGTCGACGAGGCGGAGCTGCGGGAAGTGGAGGGTGCGATGCCTCCGTAACTGTTATTCGGTTTCCCGACAGAAAAGGTTATTCGGTGTTTGCCCTCCAGAAACCAGGGAAGCTGACAGGAAGGAGGGGAAGACTGCACCCCATTGTCCACTTTCCTGGGTATACTAGTTTGACCCCTGCCACTGTTCCCTCCGCACAAAAGGGAAGCCCCTTCTCAAAGCAACCCAAAAAGCTGCTCAAGCCTTTTAAGGGCAGGTCCCTTGTTTGGTTTTCCTTTGCTTGCTTCCTTTGAGACCAGTTTCAATGCCCCCGCCCGAAGCTGGTGCATTTGCTTTCGCAAATCACCACCAAGAAGCTGACATCTCTAGCTGGAGTGAAGCGGGCCAGTCAACCGGCTCAAAGTGGTTCCATTTCACAGGACTTCTAATCACGGTGTGCTCAACACGTTCAATGAGAGAACATTCGAACCCGTAGCTGGAATCCGCCCGTTTAGATCCGAGGCGTGGAAGGTCAATAGCACACATTCACAGACCACCCCATATATTTACTTTCTTCCGGGTGAAGTGATTGGTGCTTCTTGGATCGATCTAAGGACCATCTAAAAGGCTTTCCGCGCCGGCACCCCGTGGGCTTGTCTTTGAATGACACGCAAATCTCGGGTGGGCTTGATCTAGCACCCCCCCCCCCCCCCCCCGCCCTGCGCGTGAGCGAGCCTATCACGTGTGGTTGCGTTTCATTGGATATTCAACAGTCTCACTGGGAAGCATCTTAGGGGCTGACGAACCTGTCAGTGTCTGGTTTGAACATTTGCCCCGCTCCGATCCCAAATTCCTGCGGGCAATTCACCACAATGGTTGAGTCTCCCAGAAGGACACTGATAGGGATGGGTATATGATCCGTATAATACGTTCTTTAAACAGTTTTCCAGGCCCCTTTAGCACCCGCCATTTCCTGCGGTGTGCCTTCTGGGAAGAATGCTGTAGGTCATGAAGCATCTTTTGCCTCACTCCACATACATCCAGACCCCCGAACAAGATTTCGGAATTTCGGCTTCTCCAAACAAACCGAGAGCATCCCCCCCGCTTTCGTTGCTTTTGGCATCCACGGTTGAGCAGCAGAAACCTCGGCTGGCCATCCTGTTTCTAGGGCCTCCACTATGGCGCTCAGCTGGCCGTGATGCACGGGGGCCGGCTGACGGAGATCTGCGTGGGCGAGGCGCGTGGGTTTGGGAAGGACACGTTGGAAGACCTTTGGAACTCTGCAGACTAGTGGCAAGAACCCAAAACGAAGCCGTCGCAACATCTGGAAGTTCTCCAACGAGTCAACCCAAGAAGCAAAGAGGAAAGTCAAGAGGATGTATTCCAGATCTCCGACAAATTCCTGGCTCGGGTGTTGCGCCCTTGAAAGAGAACTGTCCTTGTGGGCGCGTGGGCCTTTGGATCCGCCGGCTGTTCTTTGCAAAGGGAGGTGCCAGGGGTGCGTGTGGACGAACTCTCTGGGGTCCAATTTACGGCGCGTTGCATTTGTTTGCCGTCGCGAGGTGATTTCTGTGGACTGGATGTCTGACCTGCAGGAGGGAGCTGTCATTTGGGGCCTCAGACCCTGTAAAGTTACTGTAAAGCCAGTTCAAAACAGGGCTCTTCCCCCCCAAAAAAGACATGCTCATCTTGCCAAAAAACCTTAGAAGCAAACCTAGACCTTCCAAAGACCCGGCAAAACCGGGTTGATTGGTGGAAAGGCACCTGCTTTATTTCTGGTGTGCTTGTTGAGGTGAGTGAAATGCGGATAAGAGGACTTCCTGGGTTCATTGGCGGGGTGGGGGGGCTCCTGTTTGACTCCCTAATGAAAGGGGCCCCTGATTTAAGAGATCCGTGGACAGCGCCTCAGACTTCCAGCGCCCATCCTCGTGTCGAAGAGACAGAAATGAGAAATCGGGCACCGGAGCTCCGGGGGCTCTGGAGTGGAGCAACCCCGACCGCGGAAACCCGGCACGGTTCCCAGGAACTTGGAGGGTGCATGTTCCACGGAGGTTTCAGACAAAAAGCGGGGTTCGGCCCATCTGAACTTCGACAAAAGTGGAGGTTTCGGAGAAAAAAAGTGGGGGGGCCATTTTTTGCTTTGTTTTGGCCGCCCTGGTCTTTTTGTTCTCCAGGCCCGGCCGGGGGAGCCCATGAGCGGTGAGCACGTGCTCTGCTGGAGCTCCTCGGTGAAGCCGGTGATGGCCATCTGCCTGGCGCAGCTTCAGGAGAGAGCCATGAACTCCGAACCCCCCCCCTTCCCCCTGTTTTTTGCTTTCTCGGGGAAACATCCACCTTGTTAATCCCCTTGTGAGTTGTTATTTTTCTCAGGGTTACTAACCATCTAAGAATCCTCAAGTATTGAACACCATGGCTATCAGCGGAACCCCGATTTGAGGTAACCATGGCAAAGACCTACTTCAGCGGGTCGGACATACTATGAGTGCCCCTTCTTTCAACCAAATCCCTGTCTCCCTCATGTTGTTGTTGTCCCCCCCCCAAAAAACAAAGGTAAGGCACTCCCTGCGCCAAAAAACATTGGTGCGAGTCACTTGTGAGAAGTTTTGTTTTTTCCATTGAGCAATTGGCGCTGGCAGATTCATCAAAATACAGAAGCTTTTGCTACCCCAACGGCCTGCTCAAAGCGATGGCCTGGAAAGGGCTCCCATGAGTATTTTTTCATCAACTCCTGGTTGATCGATAGGGGTGTTGGTGTCCCATTTTACAGAGGGACACCTCTATTTTTGCCGCGGAACGCACACACACCCTATTCATCCGCAAGGTTTATGAATCCGGGATCGACATCAGGTTACAAGCATGGTTGCAAGAGGACTACTCTCAGTTGCCTCAGCTAGAACAATGGTTGTTAGTCACAGCCTACTTACAAAGTGGGTTGAACATCTCACCCAATGCAGATGTTGTTTTTTCAATGTTGCAAGTAAACTAACCACCGCAGCTTCTCATGTATGCTTTATATACTTCGGGCCATTTGGGGCTGTGTGGCTGAATCCCTGAGTGTAAGGCGAGTAAACCGGCCACACACCGTCCAGATATGGGCTGTGTTCGAAAGACAACTTGTCTTTTAAATATAAAGTGTGTTCAGGGGAGTGTTCGGAAAGCGAAAGGCTTTCCAAGGTGTGGCTGCAAGAGGCTGAGAGACAAGAACCTATTCCCAAAGGTGTGGTGGCAAGAGGATGAGCAGACGCAAGAGGCTTAAAGACAAGAACAAGTTCTCAATCGTGTAGTGGCAAGAGCATGAATCCGTTTTTGCTTCAGGAGCAGGGCTTGCTGTGCTTCGATGACCCCGTGGCCAAGTTTCTGCCAGCCTTCAAAGCGCAGGGCAAGGGCTTGGTGACGATCAGCCGGGTCCTCGGCCACGCACAGTGGGGTTCGGCCCTTTTTTGGTCAACCCCTCTCTGGCTCCCTTAAAGTGAATGTTTTGGAGGAGTTCTCAGCATTCGTTTGGTTTTGGGAGGGATGTAAATCACCATTGGGTTAGTTGAATGGGAAATCAACACGAAAACACATTCAAATGGGAAGCCCCCAT